TAGATGTAAAAAAAAATCTATTGCCCTATAGACTACAACAACAAGTTTGACATTACGGATGCATTACGGTATATATACGAACGCAAACTGTAGATTCTGCTAAGAGAATGCGGAGTCAGTCACACATGTGTTGTTAGAATGCCCTGCACTAATGCACAAATAGAATAGACTTCTGGGAATGTAACCCTTACGGAATATGCAATAAAACTCTGTAAAACAGGTTCTATACTACTTTTTATTGACAGAACAGGGCTAAAAGACCTACTTTAAACCCAGAAGAGGGCATAATTACCCCGCTGGTCACAATGCCACATCCCCTTAACAATAATAATAAATAATAAGATACCAACTCGTATACTCGTATATGTACTCGTATGTACATACGTACTCGTACTTGTAAGTCATATAAAACTAGCTGTATGCTTTTACATTATATGCTGTTATATTAATTACATATTTTTTATTACCAATTTTGAATTTATTGTTGACTTTATATCCAGATATACCTAGCCGTCGAGAAATCGTTCGTAAAAATGGAACTACTTACACTACTGCCTCTAAGATGGATAACGCGATAGTAGTAGATAAAGTAGATTTCTGATAAACTCAAGAAAATAGGGCAGGTTTCCTGATCATTACAGGAAATTATAATAATTTTTCTGTTAAATATTGTTACTATTAAAAAATTATAACTTGCTTTAAAATAAAAATATATTTGTACTAGCAGACAGCCAGCTACTTTGAAGTTCTTGAACACAGTCCAAATAATATATAACATACAACAGATGATGACTACTCAACCTCCTTAAACGAGATGCCCCTCAATATTTCTATTTTCCAGTCTTGATCACCGACTATGGGTTAGAAAGATGGAGATTTTTGTTTTTCAAAACATAATTTTCCAATGGCATTAAATTTACGTATACGAATAGTAATTATGTAGCTATCAAAAATTGACAAAATTTTTTTTTTATTTTACTTTAAGTTAATGAACATTACGACATTGCAAATAAATAGCGCTCTTATTATGTCATATTAATACGTATATAATAAAATATTTATGATAATATTGGATATCGATGTAAATGCCGTAAATAAACAAATACGAGTATTTAATAAATAGTTTCTAGAACGAACTCAGCAAGACGTATGCCTCTATGCTTTGCTTGTTCTTGCTTAAATCATTAATTTACAATTTTAATTATAAGCTATAATCGACATTAAAAAAATGTAAATAATATAAAAATATACAAGTAATGACAATTTTTTTCAAGAATGTTTTAAAAATGTTGTACGGCTTTTAGAAATAGTGGAACGGTTCAACATTAAAACCAGCGTATATTCAATATGTGATCACATTTTAAAGTTATTTATTAACTAGTACACCTTCAATTAGAAAAAATTTTAAATATTATTCAATAGTGTTTTATAAGAGTTACTGTTGTAAAGTAATTATTTTATAATACTTGAACATACCAATATACACGCGCACAACTTCTGAACAATATTTGATAAAACTTTAAAGTACAAAAAATTACTTGTAGAAATATTATGAAAAAAATATGATATATAATTTCATAATTAATATATATATAAGTATAATAAAGCATTAGGCTCATCAAATTAATTAGCACTGTTAAATTAACTAAAATTAGAATTAATGTATCTCTGTCTCTGGGGAAGAACTAAAAATGAAAACAGTAGAACAAAAAATTATTGCTAAATAATGCTAATTATAATTTAAGCATCTTAAGAAGAAAAGTACGTAAGTATTTAAGCCATTTTAACCATTTTTTTATTATAAAAACCATTTAAAAAGATTAATCTTTTCGTACAGAATTAGAACAAAAGAATTAAGCGGCAAAATGTGAAGTTTCCCATGTTTAAAAAATTATTATACAGCACAGAAGTACATTTAACATAAATTTTAAATATTAACTGAAATCAAATGAGGTCAAATTAAATCTTTATAGAAAAATAATAATATACCAAAACATAACAAGCACTAAGCATTTACAATTAACAGAGATGAAAGATACTTAATTAAAAAACATTTACTACTATTTAAGACAAATGAAAAACGTGAAAAATAAATTAATTTTACATTAATATTTTGAGATATTTTCAATTTACTATTCAAAACAAGTTCATCTAACAAGTGAGGCCTTAAATAATTACGAAAGATATATTTGAAAAAGCAATATAAAAGCAAATTCGTTACAGTTTCATTTTAAGGGCATGAGAGTTTTCATGCCTTTCAAGGTAACAACAGATACTTTTTAGTTTTATATATTTCAAAATAAACAAACAATAAATGTTGAATATTCAGTATGAAATAAATATGGAAACTTTATTACTATTTAAATAGTTAAAACTTAATGTAATGTGGAAATTAAGTTTCCTGTTTTAAGTGCAATGTTTAGTACGTAAAGATATTTAATAGACAATCTATGAGTACTTTAATTAAGCTGCATATATCGTCATTTTTCAGTTATCTTCTCTTAGAAGTAAATTGAATTTTATCTCTTCTAAATGAATTATTTCTTTTAAAGAATAATTAAAAAATATTTTTATTTATTTATTTTTTTTTTTTCATTTATTGTATTTACTACTTTTTAATTAAGAAAAATGTTTTTCAGTTTAAATGAATATAAAATGATCTCATTATAACTGCGACAGACTTAATTCGCACCAAATTAAATTTATTCAAAATAATTACATTTTTATACCGTGGGTCATTTACCTTCCGTAGTAAAAACAACAACTATAACAGCAACAGCAGTATATACTATCTACAATAACAGAAGGAAAATCATATAAAACAATGTGGTGGTCTTTTATGATGGTGTTGATGATGGTGGCTGCTTTACTTTTATTGGTAGAAATGGCGGTGTTCATGATATTATGTATTTAAGCATAACCCACAACAGAAATAATAATAATTTAAAACAAAGACAATGGCAACAACAATAACAACAACAAGTGCACTAAAAAACATTGTAGAAAAGCACACTTGAAAGATATTTTCTTGTCACGCTTATGATCATCCAACAGATGGCGTACTATACCATTTTACATGAAGATACGATAAAAGATAATTTAATTCAAGATACTTGAACATTATATGGCAAGATATTTTACTAAAGTATTCTTAAGTTCGTTACAATGTGCACAATCTTACAGGGTGATCAGTGTAAATGATTACAATTGTAATAAGCATTTGAAAATATATACCTAAAATATGAAATCAAGTTGAATAAGTTTTGCTTTGTTTATTAATAACAAAAAATATAACTATTAAATTTATTATATCTTTATATTTGTATTTATACATACATAAAAATGAAATAGTGTATATTTATAGCTGAATTCATGCAAAAATGATTAGAAAACTCGATTATTATAGGTTATTTTGGAACGTACAATTGCCGATAAACACCTTTTTAAAGCAAAACTGATTTTCCAAAGTATTTTGAAAGCAAAACATAGATCTAAAATTAATTTATTTAATTTTTAATTAATTAAAAACAAAAATAATGAAAATGGATAGAACAACATACTTAACAATTTCATATATAATTAATTCGGTTAGTATTATTATTAAGTAGAAAATGTTATATAGCTTGATTTTTATAAAACTGTCAATTTGGTTGATCTTTACCTAATAGGCGCGTCGTTCCTTTAGGCGGTGCTGGTGCACTGATCTCTAGTCGGCGCACGCACTAATCCTGTAGATCAACAACGAGTCATTATTTGAAATGGACTTTGGAGACAAACCACCACTTCAACTTAACCTAACCTAACCTATATACCAACTCAAGTGGTATATTGTGTTAACCGATTTTTAGGCTTTTAATGAACGTGTGACGGTTTTGTGATGGGGTAACAAATCAAGATAGATTACTCTGCCAGAGCTCAGTTTTAGACATTCATCGATAAGGTGTTTAGACCTTTCAGTATTTATTTTATAAAAACGGGATATATTAGGATTTGAAAATTTTTTTATATTAAGATGGTACATCAATTTACAATGCCTTGTTAAAAACTCAGTGAAAATGTTTATAACTTCTCTGTACAACGTAAAAAGTCTATTTAAGATCGCTTTGGATAAGCTAATGAATGTCTATCTGAATGCCTTAGCCTACCTTAAGGCTTAACATAACAAGTTAATTCAGTATTTTTAGATTGTTATTCCTACCCAAATTGTAATCGCTAGAAACATCACGAAGTAAAATGGATTTGCAATATTTACAGTTCTGGTCAAAATTGAATAGATAAGTGACAAATAAACTATTAAATATATCTGCACGTAAGAATATATAATACTTTAAATTCTAAAAATAACAATGAGAATAATTTGTCTATTTTATTGATACTGCATTGCATTATCAGGTATTATTCTATTATTGATAAATATAGTAATCATAAATTGTCAAAATAAAGTCTTTCATTATTTAAAATCTATTTCGTTATTGTTGTACCCCTTGGTGGATCCCAACAGGAAGCATACTCAGTCATATTAAGTGGATGTTCATAGTTTAGAATGAGACTAAAAATTGAGATTAGTAGTATAAGGTTATAAATAAGAGAGATGTTAGTGTTCCATGAATCGCATGAAGGGCAAGCCAATCAGATATGCACGGATCATTTAGAAGCCCATATTTCCATTTCTTTCTCTTTTACTCTCTTCACAGAACAGGTAATAAACTTCTTATTGGCTTAATATAAATATATTATTACAGCACCTCGAGGCTTTGAATATATTTTATTTAAAAGCAAATTTAAATTACATTTAATTTGTATTAATATTAAATTCATTTTTAAATATTAAATTCATAAATTTTAATAATTATATTTTTATTGTTAATATATATTGTATATTATTATTCTTATTGTATTTTTTCTATTAAGCTGTTTATATATATATCTATGTTTAGAATTTATTAAATAAATATTTTTTTATTCAGTAACTCTATACTTTTGTATTAATCATTGGCTCTTTACTATATTAACTATATACTTATAACTGCCTAATTAATAAAATTAATTTGCAGAATTTACAGTTTACAACTTTTGTATTGGGTTCTACTTTAAAAAAGATAAAAATTAAGTATAACCAAAGCGTTTAATCACAATACTATTTTTACAATTCTATCAATAATGACTAAACAATTATTGTACGCGAGTATCTTATCAAGTTTCAGGATACACGTTATTTATGAAATTCAATTTCTTTATCAAATTCAGTTCTTAAGCACTTCCATACCAAACCAAAGATTCATTAAAAACGTAAATAATTTTTATGAACGTATAATTATAAAATTTTTGTGTCCATTAGATATTTCAAATAATTTGTTAAAATATTCTTTTTATAATTTAGTGACAGTTTTTATTATTCCATAAACCAGTACAAGTAACAGTAGTAAACCCGGTCGCAATATATTGGAGTTATTGCATCTGAAATAATTTTATATATATTATTCATGAAATAATAACTCTATAACTACTTATTTCACATACTTTTCTGATTGTTCAACCCATGTAATTTGAGACCCAATACCATATTGGTCAGCATATTTCTGCACTGTATTCATAATTGAGGGACTGATTGTTTGCTGCCTGGTCATTACTTTTATTAACGCTGCTGATGACAAAAATTTTGTATAACCACAAACCAAAGCAATATTTTTATAATCCGTGCCTATGAGCTTAAATGTAATTGTCACACTTAGCGATCCAGTACCGTAGACAAGATCGAAGGTACCATTTTTGGTGTAATCATTCCAAGGAAATACAACTGTATCTATTTCATGATTCCATTTATTATTTACATTATTTCTAAAATCCAATGTTAGCGTGTAATTATCACTAACTTCACTGGCAGGAGGAGCAATCACCTTAAGACAAGCTGGTACATCAGCTTTTGGTATTCTTGCTGCCTCATACCATACACCAGAAATCTAATTAAATTTTTTTTTAATTTTTTTTTATTTTCATAATTATGATATAAAAATGAGCACTTACTAGTTCGGGATTAAATTTAAATATTGGACTTGAGTCGCATGTCCAAGATTGAGTTTGACTTTTGACAGAATTAGTGAATATACTTAAAATAAGTAATACTAAACTAAACTTGGTTAAATTAACTACAGGCGGCATGAGTATATTAGTTGTTAATACGCGGTGCTACTTAAATACACTAATTTTACAAATAAGAACACATTTTTTCATTCAATATTTTGTAATATCTTATCTTTTGCCTATCAACCGATTGCTTATCGTTTGTTTTTTATTTCACTTTTTATTTATAAACAAGTAAGCAATAAGTTTCGGTTAGCTTTCTTAATATAACAAAGGTAGTTTCAGATACATTTTTGTATTGAAGCCAAACAAGCGATTTAGGGGTTAAAATGAATATTAGAAAGGTCGACACTACTAAACTAAGTATCGTATGTATATAGAATAAATAAATAAAAAAAACGAGTATATATAGACATACGAGAAAAACCTGAGGTGCTTGAATATATTGAATATATTTCTTCAACATTAAAAATTATATTAGTATATGGAAATCTTTAATATTTATATTTCAAAACTTCGGAAATAATATATTAAAATATTTTGACGTTCATTAAAATATACTTTTACAGCAAACTACATTAATTTTATAACAGCTTATAAAAAAATAATTGTTTTACTATAACAACAATTATATTTTCTGAATATAATGCCTATGGGCACTGGACCATAGGACGGCATGGAGCTAGACTTGACCTACCCTGTGCTATCTCCTGGAATGCGTGTCTACCAGCTCTCGAAGAAATGACACCAGAACACCTGATGTATCTATGTCCAAGGTTTGGACATAACTAGGCTTAAGTTTCTTCTTCAACAAATTCGGCAATATCTCTAGCATTAACATTGACCAGATTCTTGCCGTTATAATGCCTCGGGCTAGTTCTAGCTTGACATTCTCTTTACTACATACTATTACGAGGTTTTTATAGATAGATCCAGTCTTCACCACAACTAACTAAGTAACTAGCAATTAAACTAACAATTCTTTGATTTGTTACAGCCGTTGATGCGTTTTGTATTACTGCTACTTATTATTGTTGTTGTTAAGTATATATGCTTGCATGCGCAAGTATGAATACCAGTAAATATCAAGTACGGTGAGAAATAAATTTATTATTACTAATTTAATTTTATTTATTATTATTTTATAAAAGATATACAAAAAAATTAGTATATTTCGTGATAATGGTTTTAAATTTAGCTTTTAACAAATTAAATTTATTTTATGTGAACTTGAAGCCATTCTCAATGTCTTATTTAATTAATGTAATAAATTATGTTGAGGATTGCTTTGGAGTAACGATTTCAAATAATTAAAAATATAATTTCTTAATTTGGATGAGATTATTCCGTATGAAGTATTTAGTTAGTAATTATCAACTTCAATTTGCTTTATCTTGATGAATTTGAAGAGGTAATGTTTTTAAGTACTTCAAAAAACATAAAATAGTTAACCACCACAATTGATTTCAATTTTATTATGTTATTTATTTAATCTGCAATACTTTATTAATATATAAAAGGTTTTATATTACGATAAACATTTAAATTTTTTTTTTTCACTGTTGCTGTTGATTCAATGAAGATAAGTAACAACACAGCAGCTTAATTTAAAAATAATTTTGTCGAGATACATTGTGACCGAAAAGTTTCCGGAAATTTTAAATAAAACGCAAAATTCTTAATCTTCATCAATATTTATTTTATCTCCTTCAAAATATGCTCCATTAGAAGCGATACACAAATGCCAACGTTTCTTCCAATCATCAAAACATTTTTTATAGGCGCTTTCCGGTATGGCTTTGAGTTTCCTCTGCGAATTCTGTTTTACGTCTTCTATGGATTCAAAACGCGTTCCTCTGAGTGGTAATTTGAGTTTGGGAAACAGGAAAAAGTCACACGGTGCAAGATCAGGTGAATACGGGGGCTGTTCGATGGTATTTATTGAATGTTTGGCCTTAAAATCGTTGATAATGTTGGCTCGGTGCGAGGGAGCATTATCGTCATGAAAAATCCATGAATTATCCTTCCACAATTGAGGCCGTTTACGGCGGATATTTTCACGCAAACGTCTTAAAACAGTCAAATAATAGGCTTTATTGACTGTTTGTCCTTCAGGGACGAATTCATGATGCACCACACCACGAATATCGAAGAAAACAATCAGCATTGCCTTGATTTTCGAGCGACTTTGGCGTGGTTTTTTCGGTTTCGGCTCGTCTTTTCCTCTCCATTCCGATGATTGTTGGCTTGTTTGCATGTCGTACTCGTAGACCCATGTCTCGTCACCCGTTATGATGCGTTCCATGAAAGTTGGATCGGAATTGGCACGATCAAGCATGTCTAACGAGACCTGTCCACGATGGTGTTTTTGGAACAAATTGAGGTGAATCGGAAAAAGCCGAGCGTTGACACGTCGCATACACAAATTGTCCACCAAAATCAAACGAGCCATCTCACGACCGATGCCTAGCTCTCGTGCTATCTCTCTAACACTCACATGAGGATTTTTGAACACGATTTCCTTTGCCTTTTCAATGTTTTCGTCGGTGGTAGAGGTCGAAGGTCGTCCAGAACGCGGCATGTCTTCGACGGTCGTACGACAGTCCTGAAAGGCTTTGTACCACTCATAAACTTGAGTTTTCGATAAAACTGATTCCCCATAAGCCTTTTGTAGCATTCGCAACGATTCTGCACACGAAAATTCGTTCGAAACACAAAATTTGATGCAAACTCTTTGATCAATATTTTTTTCCATTGTTTTTTCCGCAGCGCACTACTGAGGTGAACTGGTTTCAACAGCTGCCGTAAACGAACTGTCTGACAGATCGCGCTCATTTTTGGCATAGTAATTAAGGACAGTGCTGCCAAACTACACAAACTTAAAATATCGAAAAATATACAGCGCGCGAATTTTAAATGAGAATTTCCGAAAACTTTTCGGTCACAATGTACTTCACCCAACTTCTACTTAGGAGAGGCTTAATGCATTAATACAGTCGACTATTGTCTTCGTTTTAATTTTGGAACTTTATTTTTCAATTATATTTAAAATAGTACAACTCAAATGGTTTGTTTTTATTAAATTAACTTCGTAATGCTAAATTTTAACCAAATGTAAATAATCTGATTTGTGGTGCAAAAAATTGAAGATACGTCACACACGCTTGTACAACGAAGAAAAAACTAACAACTTATTGGTACTTTAAAAAATTTAATAATAATAATTAGTAATCTTCACTATCCATGCAGAACTTCACGCCTATATTGCAGAATTTTATTTAAGAAAACTACAAGTTTAGCTTTCTCACCATTTTTCTGCTTTGAATTTTGCTGCCAAATACTTATACAATATTAACTCGAAATATAATTATAAACAATACATAAACATACAAATATCTAACAGTAATCAAAATCACTTCACTGTAAGAACATTTTAAAATGTACATCTTAACTATTATACTCAAATTTTTTAATTAAATTATTTCCATATATATTTAGTCACAGTAAAGGAGTTATGTGTGATGTTGTAGGTTCAATGCACAGCTACTAAACTCATAAAGAGGATATTTTAGATATCGAAAATTCATCATATCATTACTTATAAGAACAGAGACTAGATAGTCAGGTTCACACAAGTCATAAGTTACTCTTAAAAAAAATAAAAAAAAAAAACAGACATTAAAACTTGAAAAACATTTGTAATATATACGGCTAAAGTCTTCAGATAGCTACGATATAATATCAAATATACGTCTTTCACTTATCTACATTTTAAATATATATTTTAAGTGAGATAAAATAATATCTTGTCTAAACCACATACATCTACATCATACAGCCGTATCATATTATATATAATAATATTTAAACAACATAATCTAATTAATGAGAATTAAGTTTAATTTCATTATACAGTGAACACTCACAATTTAGAACTATTGAAAGTTATATTATCCAGAAATAAGAAGCTGATTTCTACAAGCATTAAATGCTCTAAAATTAGAACTTACACATTGCCAATTTTTCGACTTATAACATATAATAAAGATATTTAAAATTAACTCAAAATAAAAAATATTGTGGATTGCTATAATCTAAGCAATAATGTGTTGAAATCATAGAAAAAAAAATATAAGTAAAAAAACGTAGTGGAATTAAAATTTTTTTTTTAATTTTTATAAAATAAAAAACCTTATAAGAAAGTACAATAAACTTCAATAACTCGAGGTATTCAAAAGCTCGAGTTGTAATTTTGTAATTGTTTGTAATTTGCTCTCTAAACCCTGTTGCACTCTATTTAGTTCGAGTTATAGAAAATCCGATTTAGAGAAGTTCGAGATATGAAAGTTTGACTGTATTTCTTTTTGGTTTTCAAGCTAATATTAAATATTATATTAAAAATAAATATATTACTTAGCTTGTAATATATACAAATATTTCTACAGAGGTTTCGAAAAGTAGTAAACTATAATAACAAAAATTCTTTTTATGTTATTTTAATTAATTGAATTTTTGGCAGATCATACAGCTGTTTCGAGTATTGACAAATACCTATCATCAGTAGTCTTTGAATTATTTATTTTAATTAATCGTAAATAATGTTTTTGAGACTGCAAGTACTAAGGATTAAACTCGTGCCCCGCCAAATTTGAAGCTCAGAATCATCGTTCACAAGCCAACTGACTCAAAATCGTACTTGACGATTTTGCTATAGACTATAGAAAAATAATAAAGATAATAATAATTGAATCTTAAGACAATTTACACTAATCTATTACAAAAAATACTTAAGTCATATTTAAGAAACTTTACACTAATCTATTGGCTAACATTCTAGAAGCAATTAGTCTGTTATCATTTGATTACATGAAATGTTAAGTGGAATATAGAATTGTAAGACGAACTTTATCAATCAGTTGCAAAACTTGAGCTAAAGCAATAATGTGTGTTTGTTCTTCCAATACAGAAAGGAGTTCATAAAATACATTACATTAGATGAACGCCTTAACATACCAAAAGCCTAACTACGCACTACGAATATGTATCATACAACTATTAAAACACCCATTGATGATATTTAAGATAATTTATAAATCTTCGTTTAGACTA